AATAAAATAAACAAAAAAAATGGGCACAATGAACGGGGTAGGGGACCTGCCTCGGGCTATCTTGATCTCATCCTGAACCTGCCCCACCCCACCCCATTTTAACAGGGTATGGGGCGGGGTGAGGTGACAAAAATACTTGATGGGGCGGGATTGATTGACCTGCCTTGTCGTCATCCCCAACTTCGACCTCTATTGTCCCATTTTCTAATTTTCATGCTAGGATAAAACACATAATTTATTTGAATAGTGAAAATTATGAGCTTGTTAGTGACGCACAATTTGGGCACGATGATTGTTATGGTTGGTTGCGTATTTCTTTGACCTAATTTTCCACAAACGTTAAGAAATTTTTTTTAGATCACTCACTTGGAATTAGCATCCGTTTGGACCCCATTATTCCAAATTAAAATGAGAAGAAAAGTAATTTTTTGGAGAATGTGTGGTTAAAAAAAAAAGGAAATATTTTTGGATTTACGTGTAATATTATTTTATTGGAGAATGTATGGTTGATAAAAAGAGAGAGTAAAATGAATTATAATTTAATAGGGAATAATGAGGGCCATACAGGGGCTTAATCTATTTGACTGACGATTACACTTAAAAGTGATTTTTATTTTCAATAGAGCTCATTCAAGCCTTTAATGTTGCAATCATTTGTTTCTACATGTCAGTCAACCTTGCTAGTTCCTTGTGCTCGTCCTTATACACAGTCAATTGAAGTATTTGAAGAGGAATTGCTTAAGTTTGTGCTTTTTGGAGTTCAGTGTTGATACTTGGTTAGAATAAGATCATTCCACTAGATCAGATCATATTTTTGAAGATGATTAGTAGCTTCAGTTGTTACTAGTTTTCATATTTGAGTCATAAGAGTAGCGCTGTCCGTGGGTCGGTTCGGTTCTGAAGAGAACCAAATCGACCCAAAACTTTCGGGTATTTAATAAATGGAACCGTCGGGTTCAAATATAATTATGGAACCATTCATGTTCAATTCTGTTCGGTTCGGTACCATAATTAAATTTTTTAATATTTACAGCAACACTACATAAATACAATATAAAAAAGTTATAAAAAAAATAAAATAATTAAAAGTTATAAAAATAAAATAATTTAATTAATTTAATATAAAAAATAAAAAAAAT